AGAGTTTCATGATTACCGAAAAGTATTGACCCATAATTCTGGGAGAGTCGTCCGTGTCTAGGATACTGTCTGCTTCTGAGTAGAAACTTTTCTGTTGAGTTGCCTTAGGATCCACACGGGTGTACCATGTCCAAGAGTATAAAGAAATGCTTGTGAGGTACAACATGTGGACCCAAGGTTTGAGGTCCCAAAGTTTTGCTGCAGTGTTGGTGGCAAGGGCAGTCTTTCCTTCTCTGATGACGCTTCCAGAAGACCTAATCTTTGCATTCTAGATTGTAAAGAGTTTTATTGTCCTCAGCTGGTGGATCATGAAAAACTTCCTTTAACTGGCAAAAATATACCTTGGCATACAACAATAAAGTCTTGCAGTATTTAGTCATACTAGAGTTTAGGAGAGCAGGAGGTACATTAAGTTCTATTATTAGGAGCATAGGCCTTTCCAGTGACTATTTCATAAGGGGTCAACTTATGTTTTCAATTGGAAGTAGACATGACTGTCATCGATTTGCAATGCCCTTGATCAAGGCAATCCAGTGGATTCAGTTAGTTTTGCTTAATGCTATTGTATCTGTAACAATTTAGCTAACTGTTTTACAACTTGTCCAGTGAAACAAGTACCTCTATCACTGGGGATTTCCCCAGGCATACCCCTGGAAAAAACACATTTTTTTTATTATTATACTTTATGTTCTAGGGTACATGTGCACAACATGCAGGTTTGTTACATATGTATACATGTGCCATGTTGGTGTGCTCATGGAATACTATGAAAATACATTTCTAATAACCTTTAGCTAAGGTTAGCATTGGTCTTCTTGCCTGAAAAAGCTTGTATAGAACCAGAAAACATAGACTGAAAATGGCAATTGAATGAAAATCCCTCCAGAAATGTTCATATGGCCCATCAGGTAGCAGAAATGTACCCAAAGTTTTGATTATGTTTCCAGGATTAGGGATTTGACAAACAAAACATTGATCATAAATCATTTTAATAATTTTAGAAAAGTCTCCACACTTTTTTTTTTCATGATTTTGATCATTTTATTCCATGATGAGTCATGGAGTGTTGAGTTTTAAGAGTCATGGAGTGTTGAGTTTTAATAATGGAGATGTTAAAGAAGCAGGAAGGACTAGGCAGCTGTTCAGGCTTTCTATGAGTAGACATTTCATATTGAATTTATCTCCTCTGAAATACCAATTTTGTTTCTCCAATTCCAGTGCATAGCACTGTTTATTAAATTAATTATTATAGGTAATTTGATTTGGATCAAGGAGTTCATTCAAATTGCATATTTTAACAATTTCAGTACCAGCTGACTTAGCATGAAAATCTGCCAAAGTATTTGCTCATAATTTAATTCTCCTGCTTGGGTTAGCAGTATTATAAACCAGATATTTTCATTAGAGTTCTGAGGTTTTTTATCCAGTCCAACGGTATAATCTTAAAGTTATCAGACATGTATACTTTCAGAATCTCTTCCATGAACCTCCTTGAAAGCACAGCCCTTTAGGATTATAATAGCTTACAAAGAGCTTTCAAAAAAAGCATCAGAATTAAGCAATTTGCTGTGTACAACCAGACTTAAAACAGTCATGGTTAAAGATGCAATTGACCGGGCGCAGTGGCTCAAGCCTGTAATCCCAGCACTTTGGGAGGCTGAGACGGGTGGATCACGAGGTCAGGAGATCGAGACCATCCTGGCTAACACGGTGAAACCCCGTCTCTACTAAAAAATACAAAAAACTAGCCAGGCGAGGTGGCAGGCGCCTGTAGTCCCAGCTACTCGGGAGGCTGAGGCAGGAGAACAGCGTAAACCCAGGAGGCGGAGCTTGCAGTGAGCTGAGATCCGGCCACTGCACTCCAGCCTGGGCGACTGAGCGAGACTCCGTCTCAAAAAAAAAAAAAAAAAGATGCAATTGACAAGGAAACTTGGTTATTCCTGTGGCCTGTAATAATTTAACATAAGAGTAATAGTTATGACTCATAACATACATCAAGACATATCCGAATTTTAGGACTCTCATACAAGTTTGGAAAATGTATTAATAGCATATCCATAGAAATATAATTCATTAAAAGGTTAAACATTCTTTCTTGTTACATGACAGTGCTTCTTGTGTAATTTAACATATCAGATAAGCCTTCGTTTATTATATTTGTTTATTATCTCTCTTTTAGATGCTTCAGGGGACCTCTGGGACATCCAAAGTTAGTTTGAGGTCAAAAAGACTTCATTTTGATTTTGAATTTTGATTTTGGGAAGTCTGTCAATTATGTCAGAGGTTTAAAATAAGTGATCAAAATGGGATCATAGACCATGGTAATAATTATTCATTTAGCCAAAATAATAACCAAAAGATTTTAGAAAGAAAAAACCTTCACTGTTTGATAGAGACTCAATTTTCCAAATAATCAAAAGACCTAATAAAGACAGCAAAAAAACCACACAAAATCTGTTTCCCTTTCTCTCCCTTACCCCTTTTTTGGTTTTTGTAGTTCACTCAAAAGGTGAATGAAAATCTTTTACTCTCTTATTTACAAGCGAAAACTGAATTTTAGTTTTATATTGGTGTACTTTTGATATTAAGGCTCAATTTTAAAAACGCTTATAATACATCTATTTAACCTGAGTCAGTTTAACCACACAAGATTTTTTTTACACTTTAGCTTTCAATAGCCATTTAGTTTTATCTCTACTTTTTTTTTTTATTTATTCCTTCATTTTAAAACGTTTAAGTCATCTCTAAAATGGAATTTTTTTTTCTTTTAACAAAAATGACATTTTTATATCTTCTTCGTAATCTTTCTTCCCCAAAACACATCCTGTTTTTCTTGTACCCTTTGCAGATGAAATTATTTATCTTATTTAGTGGTTTTAATCACACACATTAATGTAGTAGTTTTAATCACACACATTAATGCTAAACACATTAATATTGGAAATAAGAGGCTGGAGTTGCCAAGAGAATGAGCACTCAAGCAGAGAATTGCTCAGCAAGTCAAAGTTTACTTTTGCAGAAGGGTGCTGCTCACAGTTTTGGCTACTCCTGGAGCACCCCAAAGAAAAGACGGAAGGAGTTTTTATCCCTAATGCAGTCCCTACCTCTGTGTCACTCCCACCATGGGCTGGGGTCGGACCACACAATCTAAGCTGACCCAATTGGCTATTTGTGAATATGTTCCAAATAAGGAAGGGAAAGGAGATGTGAGTTACAGGTCGAGGCTGGTGGGAAGAAAGAGTTGTTTACAAAGCAGTTAACTAGGGGTGAGGAGGTACAAGGGAGTTGTTTTGAGAAACAAAGAACAAAGAAGTTGAACAAGCTAAACCTTTGCAGAGGAACTCACTGTGCCTTACAATTTCCTCTCTTTTGATTTTTATAATTCTTTCTCTTCAAATTTGTCTAACGTATTTTGACTTTGTTGTTGTTCTTGATTTTCTAAGAGTAACAGTTTATCTGAATAAGGCAGGGGAGAATTGGAGAAGGTTTTAGGTGAGGGCTGTTTCAATAAGTTTTTGCAGCAATCTGCGGACACAGGGTATAATGCAGCGTCCCACAAGAATAAGTACACCTATGACAATTGCAAGGGATGTGAGGATTGAGGTCTTGAGTCTCTTTCATTTGCCAAACCATTTTTCCATTAAGTTAGTGAAGGGGTTGATTATTCTGTAATTTTCAGCTAACTCACTGGCTAAGGTAGTAAGACCTTGTAGCACCTTTGTTATGGTTCCATCTCGATTATGGTAAATGTAATTTATCCAATTTACATTTTTATTTATAGTAGACCACCAGAGTAATGCAGATTCAAATACTGTGGCTATTTGATTTCGGGCTCTAAATTCATTTGGTACCCCTCATGCAACTTCGATGGCATCTATATAAATGTGAGGGTCAAAAGACCCACGAGAGGCACTTCGTTTTTTGAGATTTTCCTTTCTGTTTGGTTGATGAAACGCCAGGGTAAAAGGCATGTCCAATTGGGGTACAGTGCAAGTGCCGCTCCAGTTACTTGGCAGAGTACACAATAGTGGTCCACCGCAATACCACCATACATCCAACCGGGGATGAACAAGGGCAGACAGATTGGTTAGCTTCTGAAAAGGCTTGGACTCACTGCATCCCATTAGGCTTCTGAGGAATGCTAAATTTTCCCTTTGTCGTGAGAGACCCAAGGTAAAAATGACATTGTTAACCGGAGGCCAGAAGGCCCTTGGGGGCTGACCTGCAGGGCCTTAAACTTCCAAGAATAGCAGTGAGAGAGTTAAGCATGCCTTATTGCCCCAAGCTGCAGGGTCTTGCAAGAGAGCTATCATACAACTCATACCCTGTTGGCTGGAGGACCATCCAATGGAAAGGGAACAATTTGGGTTTCTGGCCTGCCTGTTGCACAAGTGTAACAATCGCTCTTATTTAGGGTGTGAACAGAATATTTAATCCATTCCAGCCAGGCATTTACATCTTGATACCCAGTTTCTATGGCTAGGGTTTCTTTTAAATCCTTAACTTCTACAATGTTTACTCTAGTTTCATCATTGGGTACGTAAAGAACAGCTGTTTGATTGGAATAAGGTTTAGACGGCGGAGGAAGGGAAGAGGGTAGAGGAGCAATGAAGTGCATTTCAAAGGATCCTATAGGGTCTATTCCAGGAACATCAGCTTCTATGCCATAGAAGCGACCTAGAGTGGGGTTAGTATTGGTAGAGGGGGTGACAGTAATAGAGATTTGCACAGGGTTACATTGTTGGAGTTGACAATTAGAGGGAGTTGTCTTTTTTGTAAAGTGGATGTAAGGCTTTAGGTTAGTGGAACCTCCTCCTGGGGAGGTCCAGCCTTGATACTTGATTGTCCAGACCACATCCCCACCAACCAAAACAGAACTTCCCATGACTGCCCTGTGCTCATTTGGTGCAGGAGTACTTTTCTGAAGAGGCTAGCTTTCTTTGGCTTTGGAATAAGATGTGAAGTAGCTGGGGAGAAGAGGAAAAGGAGGAAGAAATAGATTAAACTTTTCTTTTTAACATTACTCTGGTGGGAGTTGGCCCTGGGAAATGGTCCATGGCTTTGGAGAGGGCGATGCCTTTTTGACTCGCGTATGATGGGTCCACCCCTTTTCAGCAGTTTGGACTGCTGTCTCAGTTGTGAGGAGCACAAGGTAAGGTCCTTCCCAGGTGGACTCAAGCATTCCCTCTTTCCAGCTTTTAACAAGGACGTGATCTCTGGGTTGGCGCTGGTGAACTGGAAATTCTAGGGGTGGAGTCTGTGGTAAGAGACCTTGAGTCCTAAGGGAGGAAAGGGTGGAAGACAGACCAAATATATAGTTTTTAAGGAAATGATCTTTTGTTTCAAATGTAGGAAGGTTACTAGTAGAATTTAACCCATAGAACCATTGGTGGTTGTGTGAGATTCTACTAATAAGAGTGTAAGGATTGGGAACAACAGCGTGGGTGGTTGGAATTATTTGATTAATAGCCCTTAGGTTTGTACTAACCAATATGACCCATCTGTTTTCCTTACAGGCAATATGGGAGTGTTATAAGAGGACATACAAGGTTCAAGGAGTCCATCATGGACAAGGCTTTCATTATAGGTTTTAAACCTGTTCTAGCTTTTAAAGGAATAGGGTATTGTTTTCTTTTTACTACTTCCCCAAGAATTTTTAATTTGACATGGATTAGAAGGACTGGTAGTTTTCCTTGATCACCTTCTCTTGACCAGATACTAGAATGGATATACTCTTCATCTAAGTAGTGAGTAAGTTTAGGGAGTTGAGAAATTTTCCCTGGTTAACATAGGGGCCTAAACCTAATTCTAGCATTAAATCTCTTCCTAGTAGGTTAGTTCCTGCCTCTAGTATTAACAAAAATTTTATGTTAGCTGATTTATTTTTGTATATGACTTTTGTTTCCTCTAAAATTTTTGCTTGAAATCTTTCTCCCTTCACTCCTGAAATAAGGAGTTGTTCTTGTGAACAAATTACACCAGATGGGGAATGACAAACAGAGGAGTGAGCCACCCCTGAGTTGATTAAGACAAGTAATAAGCTCAGAGTTGGGTCCCACCTCTAAATATATCAAAGGCTCTTGGTGGGATTCAAGATAGAAAAGACAGAGCCTCCATTCTTCCTCAAAAGCCATAAGTGGGATGACTTCCTTGTCTTTTTCCCACTTAGGGCATTCTCTTTTAAAGTGACCTATTTTCCATATTTGAAATATTTGTTTTGCCTTTTTCCTCTTTTTATTTCCTGGCCTTCCATCTTTATTCCTTTGCCTCCTGTGTAGGCTCTGACAGCCAGGTATTTGGAAGGCTTACAGTTTCTATTTCCCTGGGCTCCCTGTTGAAGAGTCCCCTGTTGTAGTGTGGACAGCATAATTTTTGCCTTTTGCTTCTGCCTTTCCTCATCCCTTCATACATATACCTTTTGGGCCTCTCTTAAAAGTTTCTCTATGGGACAGTCTTTCCAATTTTTATCTTCTGTAATTTCCTTGTAATATCTGGCCAACTATTGGTGACAAAGTGGAGTTTTAGCATCTCTTGTCCCAGGGATTCTTGTAATTCTGGCCAGCATACTTTCTCATTTGCTCCTTAAGCCTATCTAAGTACCCCATAGGTCCTTTATCCTTTCTCCACTGTATATTAAAGGCTTTGGTAATATTCTGGGTGTGGGGCACCTGTTCTCTAATTCCTTTAATTATCATTTCCCTTAGGTCTCTTGTATTTCCTCAGTGGGCTATTGGAGGGAATTTTATTGTCTCCCTTATACTTTTTATTTTCTGCCTTGCTTGAGATATTTCTCATCCTGGAAGTTTTAGGTGTTTCCCTGAGTTTTCTGAGTCTGTGGGGCTCAACCTCTCTTACTAGAGATTTCTTGCACCCTTTGCCCTGGAGGCTAAACACCCCCAGTGGAGGTTTCCTGCACTACCCTCCTTTCACTTCACACTCAATTGTGCATCCCATTCACACACATTCAACTTATCAGGATGTCTTGACCACCAAGGAAGTACTTCACCGCCCCTGTGGTTTTCCTTACCTTGGTTTTTGCACAAAGTTACCTGGTTACTGTGGTATCTGTAGGCCTTTTCATCCCACATTGCTGAGAGTCTGGGTTTATTAGTCAAACTCGGTGGGTCTTGATTCCTTACCCCCAAGGCCACTGCAGTGAGGCAGCGGAACGTGTCTCCTCATAAGAGGGGATCAGAGACCCTTCCCCAGAGGAGAATGGGATCCCGGATGAACACCTAGGTTGTTGGAAATAAGAGGTTAGAGTTGCCAAGAGAACAAGCACTCCAACAGAGAGCAAAGGCAAAGGCAACAGAGAGCAAGGCAAAGTTTACTTCTGCAGAAGGGTGCTGCTCACAGTTTTGGCTACTTCTAGAGCACCCCAAAGAAAAGAGGGAAGGGGTTTTTATTACTAACACAGTCCCTACCTCTATGTCACTCCCCCCATGGGCTGGGGTCAGACCGCACAATCTAAGTTGACCTGAATGGCTATTTGTGAATATTTTCCCAAATAAGGAAGGAAAGGGGGATGTGAGTTACAGGTCGGGACTGGCGGGAAGAGTTGTTTACAAACCAGGTAACTAAGCCAGTAACTAGGGTTGAGGAGGTACAAGGGAGTTGTTTATAGGAATGAAGAATAAGGAAACTGAACAAATTAAACCTTTGAAGAGGAACTCACAGTACCTTACATTAATAACAATTTAACTCTTAGTAACCTTAATTTCCAGTGAAAATCCTAGGATGTGAGCCATTTTGAACTGTTTTATATCAGTATTTATAGATGAAAACAATGTTATAATTTTTAGAAAGTCATGTTTCCTCACTTCTTTGTTTCTTAACATATGCAAATATATTTTGCTTCTCTATACTATATAAAAGCAAGATGTTGGAATATATAAACAACTTATGTTGAACAATTAATGTTTCAGGATTTTAACTTGCTTAGAAATGATTCAGATATTTAATGAGTATCTATTACTTAATTTAACATTACTTTAAGGTTTTAAATTGCTGAAAGAGTTTTGAAACTCCAAGTTCAATTGTAATTTTAATGCCATTTGCCTTTGCCTACATTATTAGTTCTTAACAATTATACTTGGATTGGTTATTTTTAAAAAGCTGACTATTGAAGAAGTTTAGAAGATACTACACTAAAATATGTCACTTTGGTATATTATTGCTACCAATAGTTAAACAAAGCAAGGCGTTTTGAATTCCTTGTCTATTTTCCAAAGGAACTCAATTATGCTTAATACTTTCCTTAGGTGTTCCAGCAACCTTGGAAGATTAACTTTTATCACAGGAAAGGAGACTTCACATTCAGACAAACCTTGACACAAACCATTATCCATTCTTCTAAGGGTCCATTCATCTTTCCTAAAAACTATTTACTAGCTCGGGCCTAAATACCATCATTTGCCAAAACCAAGGAAGGGAGGGTTTAGGTGAAGCCCTGGTTAAGATAAGATGGCCAGAAAAAGCACCTTAACAAAGTTTGGCTTGTTACACAAATTTAAACCAATGCCTTTTTCATTGTAAGTATTTCCAGTGACAGTCCTCCCTCTCTTCCCAGTGCCCAGAAGCAGACATCCTTACAAATGGAAATTTCCATTGTAAATGTAAATTTATTATACAAAAGCATTTCAAAATAGCCAGCTAAATGCCAGAAAGGTATATTTTAGAAACCAATTTTAGTTCCATAGGTGGTCTTTTTAACTTAGCTTCTATTTCTTAGCTAAAATTACTCAGTTTAGGGTGGAGTCCATTAAGAAAGAAGGCAAAGAAAACATTACCTACACCTGGACTCAGCACGAATAGCTCTGAGAAAGAAGCAAGCCTGTGTATTTACCTGAGGGCCCATTATGTATAAACTTTTATCCAACTTGCTTTTTGCCTTTAGTTCAGGATAGTAACTAAACCAACAGGTTAACAGAGTCAAAGTTTTAAAATCAATTAGTCACTCATGCTTTCTATTTGCCTTTTGTAAAGCGTCTTTTAAAAGGGACAATAAAAATATCAAAATCTTTTCATAAGTTTCTACACATCAGTAGGCATCCCTGGGTGAGCCTACTTTGGGAGCTGTCATTTGTAAATGCATTTCTTAAAGTGTAATGTTGTTCATTTGGAATGTTCCACCATAATTTAAAATTATGTTTAGTAATTATGTTTTGCCATTTTAGTAAGTATTTGCTGCCTCTGGAGCCTAATACCTACATATATGTAAAGGTAGGTATAGCATGAAGGGTAGAGTAAGTCCTTCAGAAATTAACATTTTTATACTCTATCTTGGCTTTGCCTCTGTGATCTTTGTGATCAACTTAGCCAATGAGATTTCCCTATCTCTAAGCATGTAAGAAAAAGAAACAAAAAGAATAGAACACAAAATCCCTATGAATTTCTGGAAGCCAGAATTTGCACTCCTTGCAGTATTGCCATTGCTGCCAGTTTATGTGTGACCCACCTATATATTGGAGGCTTATATCAAGATCCAATCGGGTTTGTTTTTGGATTCAATCCAAAACTAGAATCAGTCCAGTTTATGTCCTAATTTTTAGCCCAGTGTGGATAAAAAATTTGCTTGAACAAACTCAGATAGCTCAAAATACAAATCTCTAAAGTTTTCAAAATTGACAAAAAACTTACCTTCCCTAGTTGTTGTGAGACAGCAGCGGACACAGTGGGCTCATCAGGTACCTTGCTTGGCCACACGATCCTCCTGGGGGTCACTGGAAGCTCTACTTCAGATTCCGCTTGTAATACCACCTGTTAAAAGAAAAACTTTAGACAAATTTAACAGAATTTAACCGAGCAAAGAATGATTCACAAATCAGGCAACCCCTAGGATCTAGAGTGGGTTCAGAGGAAAACCAGGGCTATCTCGTGGTTGAATAAAATTTATGGACCAAAAAAAGAAAGTGGCATACGGTCCACATGTTGCAGGACTTTTCCTTAGTTCCGCTAAAGATGGGATTCTTTGTCTCATGGCCACAAAAATTTAGGCTCACAGACAATTTGAATGGTAAGACAGGGTTTTATTGGGTGAAAAGGAAGAAAAGGAGGAAACAGGGACTCTTGCTAAGCCACTGTCCCTGCTAGAGTGCTTCCTGCCTGGCCGTTCGAATCCCAGGTTCCACAGGAAGAGGAGGGGCCAGGCTCCTCTCTGCTGCAAATGTCATGAACTTCCCGAGTCTCCACTTCAGTGGGCAGGCTGGTTGGAGTGTCTCCAGGGAACCCCTCCCACCCGGCTCTCTCAAATCAAGTGAGGTACAGAAACAGCTAGATGGGTTACAAATAGACATTGCCCTTATTTCAACCTGACTTGAACATTTGGCTGACTGTGGTTGACTGACATTTGGCGACTGTGATTGGCTAAGACTCTGCTACTTGTTAGACATGTAGGTTATAATCTCTTTACACATCAAGTTGGCTTGCAGTTTATTATGTATGGAGAAATCTTTAGGTTGAACTTAAAACATACAAAAAGTCAGCTTTAGGCCAAATTTAATTTAAACCTAGGAAATTGCCTTATGCAAACAAAACCTTAAGACCATTTCAAATATCATATGTTCATCTTGACCCATTCATATATTTTCAGCACAATTTTCTCTAGTAAATGTATTTTCATGTATTACAAACATTTCACTCAAAACTATTCTACAACTAGAAGAAAGATAGTGTTCCACATAGAGAAGAAAGCATTTAAAAGTTGTTTTTTAAAATGGTGGTGAGAAAACTACAAATAAAAAAAATATTTCCTGTGTTTTTATTTTATTTATTATCATTATTACATTTTTTGAGACAGGGTCTCATTCTGTTGCTCAGGCTGCAGTGCAGTGGTGCAATCTTGGATCACTGAAGCCTTAACCTCTCGAGTAGCTGGGATTACAGGTGTGCCACCACTCCCTACTCAATTTTGTATTTTTTGTAGAGATGGGGTTTCACCATGTTGCCCAGACTATTTTGGCTTTTTGAAAAGATTTATTCTGGTACTCCCTTCCTTTCTGTCTCTGAGTTTGATTCTGTACCAAGTCCTATCATTTTTCCTCCTGAATATTGTGACCTTAACTTTATTCCAATTGTCAATCGTACCATATCTATATCGTTTGATTGGTCTACCCTTTCCACTCTTGGCTCTCTTCAATCTGTCAAGGTACTATTATTTACCTTTCAGATGAACAAAGATCTAAGTTTGAAAACATACTCCATTGATGTGGCTATGTGAAAAAAAGTTATTCTTACATACTGTTAGTTGGAATGCTGTTAGTAGGAATTCAAACTGTTACAAACCCTATGGAGGGTATGTGGGCAATACGTATAAACCTTTATTTTTTAAAAAATTATTAATTTAATAAAGACAGAGTCTCACTATGTTGTCCAGGCTGGTCTCAAATGCCTGGGCTCAAGCATTCCTCCCGACTTGGCTTCCCAAAGTGCTGAGATTACAAGCGTGAGCCGCTATGTCCAGCCCAAAATTTCTCATATTTGTATATTTTTACCCAGCATCCACCTGCAGGAATCTAGCAAAAAATATGAAAAGATATGTGTAACACATTATGAAATGAACAACTGCAATGGAAAGACAGGAAACCACCTATGTGTCTATCAAGTGGAAAATGGTTGAATAAACTATAATACATTTACCCTTTGGGGTGCTGTAAGATAAAATGTGGCATATTTCTTTATACTACTATAACATGATTTCCAGCATATATTGGGTGTAAAAGACAAGGTGAAGAAAAGTACATAAAGTACGCTACCATTTATCCATGAAAAGGAGGACATTGAAACATAAATGGGTATTTGCTTATATATTTTATTAAAAAATTATCATCAAATAGAAATCATTATATGGGTTGGGTTGTTTTGTATATTTAATTTTGTATACACACAATTACATAACAATGAAACAAAAGTAAATAAAAAAATGCTAAAATCTAAAGCAAGATGAAACACGTAAACTTGTATATCAAATTAGAGGCACAACTAATAGAGTTAAACAAGTGACCAAAAACAATGTGATTTGACCATATATTCCTAGGAGTATATGCCCTATGGACAAGCAAGACTGCAACAGGACTTAAAATGGTTTTAAGCAATCATAATGTTGGGAGTCACATTGGGACTTTTCTCTGGTCCATTAGGTGATTACAGCAAAAAGTGATTATTTCAGTGCCATGAAAATCAGGGTTCTTAATGTGGGAGAAAGGAGATACACATGGAAGACTGAAAGATTAGGTAAAAACCCTGTGATCTCAAATATGAATTGAAAGAATAAACACAAGAAATATTACATCTTTAAAACAAAACTTTATCCATGAAAAGGCCTAAAAACAATGATCCCCCAGCACTATTATTACCTGTATTGTAATCTGCAAATACTATTTCCCATAAAGGAGCCAATGTTTCTTACATAAATGGCCAAATTCATATCTGGCATAGTTAATGGACATGCTGAACTCAAAACATTTTGTCATACCTGAAAGCAAGGAAGTGACCACAGATTATTACCTGATGTACTTTCTATTGCCTAAAGGTGAAAAAATTTGAGTATTGACTATTAACTGAATTGAAATGCAAACATGTTTAAATCTCTGTTTATAATGATACTTTAAAAGCCCTCATTGATCATTATTTTGACAACTTGTAAATTAAAGGAAAGAATCAACCATATTATCTTCCTTCCATTTACAAACTATATCTTCCTTCCATTTACAAACTATATGTCATGAACCAAATAGTTAATAGGAGGAAAGTTTTGTGTTTTTTTTGTTTTTTTTTTTTAACAGGAGTATTTCAACTAGTAAATGAATGCAGAATGATTGAACTTGGTTACGATTTTGTGTATCCTGAGGAAATAGTGGTCTAGGCCATGATCCTCAATGGCTGTGAACCAAAAGGAGAGACAACCCCTTGAATTACAGGGAGCCACCATGAGGTTATTCTTGCCAAATGGTCAATGCAGAATCTGATCAAGCCCCTAATCCACCAATTATTTACAGAAAATACAGGAGAGAGAGGAATGTATTAAATAATACCATGGGTAGTCGATCCACATTTCAGGCCATGAGAAATTTTATAGGACAAAATGTCCTATTTAAATTGGACAATTTAATAAAACCAATTTAAAATCAATTTAAAAAAAACCCAAAAATGTAGAAGGAACCTATAGAGAAAACAACACTTAGGGGATATATCAACCAATTACAGTACATGGACCTTATTTAAATTTTAAACTATAAAAAATTATCCATCTATACACATATACATATATTTGTTTATACATAAAAGTTGGGAAAATCTGAACACTGACTAGATTTAATATTTATAATATTGTTTATATTCTAAGTATGAAAATGGTTTTATGATTAAATTTTTTAAAGGAGACTTTATATTTGAGAAATGAAAACTGACGTATTTATAGAAGAAAAAATATGCCTTGGATTTGCTTCAAAATAAGCCAGGTTGAGGACAAGTGCAAGAGAAATTATATATAAAATAAGTATTGGCTGTAAGTTAATAATTGTTGAAGCTGAATGATAAATGAATAGAAGTGCATTATTATTTCTTCCATTAAAAAAATTTCATTTGAAAAAAAGAGAGAAAAGAAAGCCCTGAATATATTTGTCCTGCCATCTTGCATCAACCCCCTCTCTGTCTCTTTGTGGGTGATCCACCCTATCCACCTTTACCTTTTGAGCATCTTTCCTGCCGAGGGATTTTCTGTGCTGTGCTGCCTATGTGGAGCTCTCTTCTGCACCATCTGTGCCGCCTTAATGCCTACTCCATCCTTCGGACTTTGGTTCTGCTTTTGCTTCTTCAAGGACATCTCTGACTTCTCTGATTTGGTCAGATCTCTCTGCTTTAGGCCTCTGCATTATCATCTACCTCTGCTTTCTAACACTCGCACACTTAGAATTTTGTGAAAATTTGTATTTCTGTTAGCGCCACTAAATTCTAAGGTACCTAAAGGCAAAAGCCATACTCATTTCATTTAACACAACAGCCTGGTATATCACTCAGTACACAGTACTCTGTTTGCTGAATGTTATACCACATCTGTTAAAAATCAGGTAATAAGAAGCAAGAGGTGTACCCACTAGGGATAAAAACAGTTCACGTTTCAGTAAGTATAGAAGAGAAAGTGATTTTTCTGGGTGGAAAAAGCTGGAGTAAGTTTTTCTGATTTTATTTCGTATGATACAAAAATGAAAATAAATTAATAAAAAGCTACCTACTGTTATTAGATATAAGTCTATTTCCAGTCCTAAGGATAGTAGGTATGATTTTAAGTGGAGAAGGAAAAGTGAGATGTAGTCTTCTGTGTCAATCTCTGGCTTAGGTTTTAATATATAGAGAGAATTTTTATTGCAACATGACTATGTACTTCTACAAAGTTACCAATAATGCTTCCAGAGATGGCTACAGTGTCCTATAGGGTAAAGGCACCTCTGAGTAGAAAGGGCTGATTGCGTTCTAACTTGTTTTGTGAATCTGACAGGTGACATACACTGAGGGATCAGTAAGCTCAGAATTGTGCACTTCAGTGGTTATTTCTGCTCTCTTTTCTGGAAAGCTCTACAATGGGCCATTAATATTTGGAGCATAAGGAATGTGGCCTTCTCAAAACTTCAGAATTCACAGCACAGAATGTTGTTAATTACAGAAATATTGGATACATGCAGCTTCCTAGCTTCTTAAGTATTTTATGTTATCTGTTGCAAAACACAATCCAGTTACTTGCTGAGATGCAATTCCTCATTCAC